TGTCTCCATCGCATTCCTTACTCAGTGAACCTCTGTTGATTCGGTGTTCTCGGAACCTGCAATAAGAAGGTTTGAATTTGTTGTATGACTTTATTTCTATTATTATTAGTTTCGTTTACTAAAACCCATACTGAATGATTTGAGGTTCTATATGTTAATTTGGTTGGTATGGCTTATGTTTACTTTAACATGACAGAGATACTTGAAGGCTGCATGCCGGATGCCGGTGACGCTAGTTTTAGGAACTGGAGAAGGAGAGAGAGACATTTTCTAGAAGATTGTTAAAGTTACAAGGAATAGATAAGTTTTGTGGAGATGCACATAGGGTTCGTCAAAGATGAGAATCATATATATATGATTTACAGAGGGGCTACAAATCAGGAACATTTATGATCAAGCGATGTAAGATGGGGAGATGAAAAGTTCACCGGTGGAAAAAATAGATTACGAACAGACACACGACCCAACTCTATAACTCAGACCTGTATGAGACGATGGTGAAAGGAATCTTAACTCATTTTAAACATTAACGGTTTACAATATGGGAAAACTGTAACTGTTGTAAACTTGAAGATTTTCTTCATATAATATGATGAAGCCCAATTAAAAATGAAACTCATAATACACTTCCAGGCCCGAACTTTAAAGGAGGCCATAGATGCAAAAGCTTCCGGCTATAAATATATTAGTTTCGGCCATCAATGTACAAGTTATCTTGTAGTTTAGTGGTATGAATGTTAGTGTTTGTTTCTTAATAACCCGGGTTCGAATCATATGTTTGACATTTTTCACATTTTTAAAGTGGGACCCACCTAATGCTGATGTGGCGCGTTGAGGAGTCTTGAAACTCATCTATTATAATATAGATTTACATAACTTAATTACAATATCTTTTGATATCTTTACTTTTATTTGAAATAAAATAACTATTGTAAAGAGAATTCTAACCAAATCTTTTATAAATATACTAGATTTATTAAATGAATAGATGTCAAGTCATTGTAATTAAAAAAGGACACAAGTGAACTTTACTCACAAGTAAAGTCAAATTAAATAGGAAGAGCAAAATGTTTTTATTATCTTTGTGTTTTACTTTAACATTGAAATATGTCAATTGTTTTTATTATTTTGTGTTAAAAAACATAAATTATAATCTTATATAATAGACTTACTTAAAGCAATGACTTATAAGTGGTATAAATTAAACAAAAAAAATCACATATAAAATAAGTCATGAAATCAATATTCTTTGTGTACAATGTAAAATGCTTTTTGAAAATTAATCAATTTAAAATGTTATTATTATTATTAAATATAATTAAAAGATTTATATAATTTCCTTTTTATTTATAATAAAAATAAATTAAAATTTAATTACTAATTATGTTTAATGATAATTAATATGGAAATTAACTAATTTTAAAATAAAATTTTAAAAGATTCTAAAAAGATTTTAAATTATTTTTGTTAGAATATTCTTTAAAATATTTTTTTTGTATTTCAAATAAAAATAAAGATATTAAAAGATATTAACTAAACTATATAATATATGATAAATTATATAAAGATGGTTTAAATTAAAAAATCACACATAAAAAAATTCATGATTACTATTTTAATAGTATATATGCGAAAATTAGATATCAAATCAGTTAACTTAAATTTAAATATCATAATATATTTAAAAATTAATTTTGGACTATCTACTACAAATTCATCACATTTAATCATCCTATCATTAATGTTAACATTAAGCTTATCTTAAACCTCATATTATCAACATATCTCAGTAGATATATGATCGTTTAACTATACAAAATAACGTCACCATGATCATATATTTACAAGACTTTCATAACATCAATTTTTTTTCATACACTTGCTTTAAGTCACAATTCATGTCTCTTTGTCATTTTCCGGTGTATATATTTCTTGGGTTATTAGCCTTTAACATTTTTTTTCCATAAAATGCTTTATCCATACTTATACCATGATGTGCCTCAACTCATCAACCATTGGGCATCATTTTGTCCACGCATTAATGTATTGCTCTGATTAATATATATATCCTTACTATTTATTGTTGTAAAAGAAAGTTAAATAATGAATTAACTTTTATACCGGTAGCCTTAAACATGAACATTGATATTTTTGTAAATTTTTCTTTTTTTAAACCCAACACAGTAAGCATTTGGAGAAGATGAAAATGTTGTCATATTAATTATTAACAAGAATAATAGAGTCGGATATTAAAAATCATATAAATTAATAAAATATATTAATTATTAACAAGACTACTAAATCGGATATTAAAATTCATATAAATATCTAATCTATTAAAACTGAAGTACATTTTATACTTAACCCTTAGTTTTTCTCAATAATTACCACTGATTGCCACTGATTCTTTAACCTAAAAATTAAATCTACTCCCATTAATTAAATCTGCTGGGGATATTCACTACTAGATATCGTTGGAGCCCATTATTTACAAATAACAATAATTATTTGGGCCGAAATATAATCGTATCTATAAAACATATTTCTACTTCATAGTCCATATGCAGATATCTTATGATTATGAGAACAATTTTGACTTATTATTATGATACTTACACGTTGACCCTGAGACACAATATATAACTTATGATATTGATGACTTCCTATATGTATATTACAAATATAATTTCATGTGTAATGTACCATATCATTATATAATGGTATAATGTACTCTTCGAACGACAACTGGTCCACTTTTGGTCTTTATGTATTTATATCATTCGGTTAAAGTAACCAATCGATTCTGTTTTTGTAATCATTCATTTAAACATACATGGAATTTTTGAAAATAAACTAAATCTTTAACCAATCAGCCAAAAATCTTGCAAATATGTAAAGAAGAGTCACGTGTCAAATAAGTTTTGACAATCAAATATGTAAACAACATATTACAGAAATAGTCAACCAATTGAAAATCAAATCACTAACGTATATTTGATTACTCATAATAAATTTCAATTTCCGTAAAGGAAAAAATTCCTAATAACTTCCTAAAATTTAGATAACCACTAATTTCACAACTAGTATACATTCCGTGAGTCACACTTTAGGATTGCATCCCATGATGTCTAACTGCTCTGCTATAGACAAAATTCAAATATATTTTGGATAGGAATATTCTAATTTATATGGGCTATAATCTCGCATATATATAGCAGAATTAAGTAAAATATTTAATATCTTCCCGATCAAAAAAGTAACTAAGAAAGCCTGAAAATATCAAAATTTTGCTCATACTATCTATCATTATTACTAGAAATTATGTAATTTAAAATCAAAACTAAACTAATAATACAGTATTATCACTAGAAATTATTTAATTTAAAATCAAAACTAATCATTAATTATATCTAAACGAAAATTTACCTTTCAAAAGTACTAAAATTTGGAATATAATAGAATAGTTTATTCGATTTTTAATGCTAGAAAATCACAACTAACAAACTTTTTAATAGCTTGACCACACATTCATGTATTTTTTGTAAGTTAATGTTAAGGAAATATATTAGAATATAAGGATCTACATGTAAATACATAAGTCTATAGTTTAACCTACTAGTATTGCTGTATAAATACCTTCTACACTTCTAATAGTATTCATTCAGCCTATTATCCATAGTTAATATTTATTTTATATAAATAGTGGTATATATTTTTAATATGCACCTATATTAAATAATTATTTAATATGTCATTTTTAAATATAATAATTGTATGGTTTACATTGAGTAGTTTTTTTCTAATCCTTAACTGTACCATCCATATTTCTTATCATATATTCACGGTTTGGATTTGTATTGGACTGCTATTCATATGAAAATATGTTGAAAATTTGATTTATACTTTACAACTTAGATGAATATAATTTCATATTTATGAAAATAAAGTAGGTTAACCCATTAATTTAGTAACTTTGAGAGAACAACCGACAAATGACTTATTATAGTTATATATGGTTTTCATGCATTATATTGTTTTTTGATTAATTATATATGTTTATAAATAATTAATATTTAATTTAAAAATTATTAAAAAGTTGAGACATAGAA